GTAAGGAATAGTAGTTTTACCGCAACCAATGCCAAGATGAGTGACAGCTGGTAGTGTAGTCCTGTAGATGGATGGGCCGGTGTGTATCAGGGAGGGTAAGGAAAGGAGTAAAATAAACTGGATTTGGCGTTGATGGACGTGGAAGAGTTGAAAGTCATCTATGCCTCATTGTTAAATGTTACACTCAGTGGCCACCATGACACAGAAGAAGACTAGGTGTTTGAGATGGTCAAGCTCGGCGTGGTGGGCAATAAGACGATGACTGATGAAGATGAGGTTAATAAAATCATTGAAGTTAAGGGCTGTCTGCGAATCTCTTTCTGACTGTAGCAAGTAGATAGGTGGAAGAATAGTTGGATCATTCTACTTCTGAAGGTTAATTAAATCTGCTCTGACTGAAGCAGAAACGGACTACTTACAAATCGATCTGCAATACTTCTTCTCTCAACCAGTTGCCATAGATCTGCCTAGTTATTTTGGGTGATAGACAATTGGGTAAGTTAAGGGATTGGAGGCATTGACAGGAGATGAGGAGGAATTAACAGATCATTCATAATTCAGAGTACAAGCACACCCGATTTTGCAAGCAAGTGTCTACTGAGCATCATTTGGTAGTGTCGGTAATCTGTTGTATGATTACAACTGCTAGGCTCGCGCTACTACTGGACTAGTTTGCTTAAGACACCGCGACACGTTGGAAATTGAGCCCAATTTAAATATTTTAGTCTTTTAGCCAGCTAAAGTGATCCGTGGCCAAAGGGATCTTCTTCAATACCATGAACGGTAACGCAGCGAGTAGCAGATCTGCATTATATGGAGGCATAAGAATTGTAATACGATAGTGGTTTATCCCTCAGTATTTGTGAGGCACCACTTTTGTACTTTGAATTAGCCCTCTTGTACCTTACTGGGTGGGCTGGCCTTTCGAGCCATGCCAATAGCCCAGACATCTTCTCTGCGGTGAATATATATTCTGCCTGAGTATTTTGTCGTCTTTCGTCTTTAGGGAGTCTCAGAACGCTACAAAATAGCATATCGACCAATGCAGTGGCAGTGAGGTGAATTTCAGAACATGGATGCTACTACAACGGTGACTTTAGTTCAGTTGGGATGTAAGTGATTTAACTTATTTTGCGGCAAACCGCACACTCATATGTATTGCACTTTGTAACAATTTTGATAGAGATTGTTTCAGTAGGTGGTCGGGACACAGCATATGCCATAGGGCAATTTGTGACCTCTGACAATTTAAAGTGGATTGTAATCATCCCTTGAGGTCAAAATGATGCGCCTAAAATTTTTCAAAATTGGACTTTAATGGTTAATTGGTTTTTTTTTATTGTTAATGTCAAAACGAATCTTTTGTGCGCGCACATAGCACTGCAGATATAGCGAATAAATTATAATCAAATAAGTGTTCTTGCACCTGTTCGATTCATACCTCTACCTAACTGTGGAATATTTAACAATGGTCAAGCAATTATCCAACCGTCCACTCGAGTCTGTTTATCAAAACGTGATTTTGGAAAACTGAGGTACCTTTTCTTAATGTCTGGGCTCTACAGCATGAGAGCAGGGCAGAGCCCGGTAAGGGGCGAGTGGCGGACGCACACACTGAAGGGGCACCAGGATGCACACTACAAGCCCCTACTAGTTCCAACAGCTTGAAATCCCACCGGCTTTCCTAATTACCCAATAAACATGACACCTGCACTCAACATTGCATCCATGCAATTATAAGAAAATACAGTTCCTACCCGTAGTACAGATCCAGGTGAATAATCAGGACCAGACTATTTGCTCGTGAGAACTTGCTTGCTCGACAACTTTAAACAAGGTGAAATGGGCTATAATTATTTGCGAAGACAAAATTAAAGGATTGTAGCATACGTATTGCTGGGTCATTTATTAAGTCAACACCGGGAAATAAAAGTAGGTTATAGTCTTCGCAATTTCTAAGAAGTAAATTGCAATTTCGTTTAGGCAAGTCGGCGCTGCTCCATTTAACCTGTATTGTATGCCATGCACTCATTGGAGAGAAGGTCGCTCTCTATTCCTGCGGAGGTCACTGGCCGGCCAATGGTGTAGAGAATACCGGCCTCTCCTCAAAGTTGGTAGCCACGTCTGATGAAGTGTCCACACCCTCAGACACGATGAAAACGAAGTATTGCAGCAAAGTCATCACGATTACCTTTACACTTCCACAATACATCACGACAATTCATTAGCCGCTATAAGAGGATGTTTTGGTAAAAAGATGCGGTACCTGTAAAATCCTTTTGGTGCATAACTGACTTTACATAAAAGCAATTTC